AGTAAATCCATGTCAAAGATTCCTAGTCCTGGTGTCTTGGCAAGACACAGAGTGACTGCAATTTTAACTCCAAGGCCAAAACAGTATTTTCAGCACCGCGTTCTCATCCAGAGCTTTGATCCCTCTGTACTAACAAGAAAACTCACATCACTTTCCCTTGGGCTTGGTGATACTTTGAAACACAGGACAGCAAAGGTGATGTCCTATGTCTTCTCAAACTGGGATGGAATAAATAATGTAGTTTCTGCCCATCTCTCTCTTTCCTCAGGATTCCCCCTCTCAGGATCAGCTACTCCCCTGGGTAGTTCTGGCTACACGGAGAGGCCGCATGGAAAGTCATTCTATCTGGTCCTTTGCATCTGCTGCTAGGCGGACGAAGGAATGGTCCCGAGTCACAACCCCAGGCCTCCCCATGCCTCCATTCACCCTGTCATCTCTGTTCATTCTGCAGCAGAGAAAAACCTGCCGTTCTGTGCTTTGTCAACTCCTTAGTCATGGGTTATGGGCAGAATAAATTCTTGCTTTGTGTTACTAAGTTTTGAGGTAATTTATTCCAACATAATTAATAAGCAGAAGAGGGATCAGCATGCTGGGATATTTAACTTTGCATAAGTGGGTGAGTGTGGTTAAGTGGTCACAGTCTCTGAATAAAAAGTAAATTTACAAAATTAAAAAAATTATTGAGCCATTTAAAATGTTTAGTATTTAAATATACATTAAGTCATCTTATTAAACCATTGAAGTATTTGCTACCATGATTTTTTTCTTTTTTTGTGTGACAAGGACTCGCTTTGTAGCTCAGGCTAGCCTTGAGCTCTCCATATAGTCCAGGGTGCCCTCAAACTCAGGGAGATCCTCCTGCCTCCGCCTCCTGAGTGCTGGGATTATAGGCTTGTACCACCACACATGGCACTACCATGATTTTTATCCTGACAGCTTTGTCCCACTCTGCTCAATTTTCTTGACAGTCCCTCGAATTTGAACCCTAGTGAAGGCACACATGAAAAATGACATGATTTTGAAAACAGGCATTGAGAAAGAGAGAGTCATTCAATTTAGACTTTCTCAGCCGTGGCACTATCCTCTGGGGGTTCATTTTCAAACTAGTCATGTAGCTGGTGATTGCTATTTTCAAGTTCTAAAAGTAGCAACTATTTTGCTAGTCTGTGCTTCCTACTTTTACCTCTCACTTTCTGCCCTGCAGTTTCCTCTAGCTCAAGTGATTCCACTCTGCTTATGATTGATGTTTTTTGAAAAGAGTTTGGAACATAAATTTCAGTTCAGTTTCATGGTGCAAATCGCTCAGGCTTCAGGGATTTATGTCTTGGTTAATAAGGATTCTGGAAATTCAACCCAGAATCCACAAGAAATTGAAAAAAAAATAAAGTAGAGTAATTCAAGCAAGATGCATTTAGTTTTAAAAACAAGCATTGTATTCAACCTTTTTCTTTTCATGTTTCTTAAGAAAGCATGAATTGTTTTGATTTTACAGGACATTCAGAAAAAAAGTGCAAAATGACCAAATTTCATTTGGATTATCAATTTCTATGCAAGTTCATGATTTCTCCATTTGAGGAGGCAAAGTGGTTTTTCTTTTTAAGTTTCATTTATATTAGTACATATCTCTTGCATAATGATTACACTAACTGTGGAGAATTGGTGCATGTACATAACACATGTTAATGGTTTTGTTTTCTTAATCTCCTTCCCCTCCTCCATTCCCTTCCTCTCTTGGTCCCCTGGCCATTTGCAAAAGATCTATTTTTTCCTGAGATAGTGTTGGTCAACATTATCACCAACTTCGCAATGAAAAATATGCTTTCTGCATGTCAAAGCTTCAGTTTCCTACACCTGTTGCATTCATTTGTTCTGAAATGCGTGGCCTTGTAAGTGATTACTGTGATTCAGTTTACAGTGGAAAGAATTGCCCATTTCCAGCTTGTGGTAATTACTGGATGAGACTTAGATTGTTCTGTACAAATGAGAACAAATCACCCCTCAATGACTGAGATAATGGGTATCAGTTCTTTGATCTCTCCTCCTCTGCTCCACCCACACTCGCCCTGCCCTTTGAGCTCTGCAAACTGGAGAATAATCTTCCTGAGTCTTTGCAGTGAGCTTAATTTTCACATTACACTGAAGGACATAATCAGAACCTGGTTGCCTGTGTGATTTTTCTTAGACTTCAAGGGAAGGCTGATTTATCATTAATTTCATTTAACAACCTGAATAAGTGTAGTATTTCTTCAAGATTCAAGCAATCTTCAGGATATGATTTGTTATTTCACAGCTTACAGTGAATCCAACTAACCAGCCTAAATGTTTATATCTGGAAACAGAATATAAGAGAGTATTGAAAGCTTCCCTAATCTAAAATGGATAGTATATTTCAGAAAATATTAGAGGAGCCATGTTTTGGAAAAAAATGTAGTTTACAAACTTTGAAATAATTCTAGTGCTATAAAATCTCAATAATCTGCTTTCAGCCATTACAGAAGTCAAGCTACTAGTTTCTTTTAAGAATTAAAATCTAATAGATTTGTTCAACAGACTACTTTGTATTTGATACCTGCAAAATGGCATAATGTCTGGAAAGCAGGACTGAAAAAAATCAACTCATTAATTAGCCATATGCAGTGCCATTATAAAATATCATGGACTTAAACTCTAGCTTTAAGCTACTGATAACTCTGTTTTTCTTGCTGAGTTTATAGTGACTTCACGTCTTACTCTAATAACAATTGATTACTGTTACACTGTGTACACAAGGAAAAGAAACACAAGAAGTGTAATGATAGTGATTTCAGCTCACTATTTTATTTGTTTTCATTGCTAATCCACTGATGAACCTGTAATGATGATGAAGACAACATCCCTGACATCATCGTGATTGATTGACTTTAAAAAGCAATAAGTCTTCATTCAGACTTTAATAAAGGTGTCTGATCATGTTTAAATTAGTACCATTGTGGGCTGGCAGCTCGTCAGCTTTGTTTTATTTGGCTGTCAGCTTAGTGAAACAGAAACTATGATTTTCATCTCTTTAGTGAGATAGTTTTTGGAGGGACTCAATGAGATGGAGAAGGTAAGACTTCTTATTAGCTAAAAAAAGAATTCTGTGCTCAAAAAATATTTATTTCCTGGCTTTCTGGAGCTGATAGGAGATATTTTCCACCATCCCCGGTGAAAAAGTTGAATCTGGACAAAATAATAACCTATGAAAATCTCCGTCACTTCAGACATGTGGCAATGGGTTCCACAAGGAGTTTTCCTCCTAATGTTCGCTTTTTTTCTTTTTTTGTCAGTTACATGATTGAGTATTCTTTTATTGCAGCCTGCAAATCTTAAGCTGCTGGAAGCCTGTAAACCACTCATCCACTTTAAAACAAGAAAGGCAGGCCCTGTGACCAGGGACTCTGACCTTCAAACACCAACTGGGACATTCTAGGTGGTGGGAAGAACAGAGTCACAACCTTGTGGAAAGTAGTCATCTCGTTAATCTCCCACTGCTCCTGAGAATGCTCTTGCAGTCACTGGGGCCGGTCTCTGGGAATCACAATACAGCCCGCAGCACAGCTTCTTCTTGTCTGAGTGTGTCATTAGCTTCCATCCAGATGAATGATGCTTTTGCTGGGGGACTTATGGGCTCTGACATAAAGTTGCTTGCTTTGTGGATATGTAAAACATCACCTACCTGCACAGACCTCAAATGTATGTAAATCTATTATTATTCTCCGTGTAAACTAGTTTACGAAATGAGTCAGATCTTACAGCTTTGTTGAAGCAGAAAAGTCGCTGACTGCTTAAGCTATGTTGAAGTGATTTATTTTCCCAGAGTCAGAGTTGTAGATTCACTGGTTCTAGCAGGTGAGTAGAAACTTGGAGCAGTTTGTTTTCATGTTCAGAACTATATTGTAGTGAGATGAGGCAAAAAAAAATTATATCCTTATAGTTCTCCCAAACATAAAAGAATAAAATATTACAGAAAATTCTTTACATATATGTTCATGACCAGCAATGATTAAACGCCCACTTCTCCCTTGACAAGCTTTATCTCTTACACAGAAAATGACTTTGAAGAGCCCTTAGTTTGCCCTTGATTAAACATATCCTATGTATAAATACTAGAGTGCAAAATATACATTTTAAAGATGTTATTCAAAATGGTAAAAAGACACTCTACCCTTCCAAATTACCATTATAATAATTTAAAAATTAAGCCTTTTCTACTGGCATATTAATGAGGCTCACAAGACAAAATTATGTATTAGTATTAGATTAAAATTTTTAGGAATAAAGCTCACCCAATTTATTTAGAAAGGGTCTTGTCTACACATGCAGTTACACTTAATTAGCATCTACTTTGCTTCACTAAGTGAACAGAAACGGAGGGTCCCATTGCCCTTCAGCCTTCCTGCATGGGTCTTGCTTTGGTCATTTGATTAATGTGATAGCCAGCTCAGACTTTGGATTTGAGTCTTCATGTCTTTTTTCCTAGTAGGTCTTGTCATCTTGAAATATATCAAGGAGGCACCTTCCCTATTAGAAGCCCCGTTATCTATGGAAGAGTGACTGATTAAGTTGTGCTTAAAACATATTAAATACCAATGACAACCCAAGCAGGGTGTGGTCTTATAATCCAGCTGGCTTAGAAGGGAGAGAGTATGTGATGACAGAAGGGTGTCACATTTGGGGTTGCAGTCAGATTGATGCTTATTGGATGCAAGCAAGATGAATGGGGATGCAATGTGGGCAGGGATGACCAATCACTTTGAAGCCATCCACCAACCTCCTTAAACCAGACTAACTACAGTGCGGGAGACTTATGACTTAGTTACCAAACTACTAAACTTATTTATGAGAGGGAAGGCTTCTCAAGAGACAATTAACGTGTAGATTCACAAGATGTTCTAAGGCAAGCTGTGAGCCAAAGAAGCCAGGCACCCAAGGGAGGGAGCCCCACCCACCAGCAGGGGTGTATAAAAGCTCAGGAAGCTGAAGTGACATTCAGAATCCAGAAGCAAGCTGCAGAGTGATACCTGCTGCCCTGCACCTGGCATCATGTCTTTCAACTGCTCCACAAGAAATTGCTCTTCCAGGCCAGCTGGAGGACGCTACACTGTCCAGGTCCCAGTTGCTACAACTGCACCCCAAGATGTTGATTGCCTGGGTGGCATCTATTTGCCCAGTTCCTTCCAAACTGGCTCTTGGCTCCTGGACCACTGTCAGGAGACCAGCTGCCAGCCCACTGTTTGCGAGCCAACGTGTTACCAGAGAACTTCTTGTGTCTCCAACCCCGTCCAGGTAACTTGCTCCCGGCAAACAACCTGCTCGACTCCCTGCAGTCGGCCGCTCTCCTTTGTCTCCACTGGCTGCCAGTCTGTGGGAGGCATTTCCAGTGTATGCCAGCCTGGCGGTGGCATCTCCACTGTTTACCAGCCTGTGGGAGGAGTCTCTACTGTCTGCCAGCCAACCTGTGGGGTCTCCAGGACGTACCAGCAGTCCTACGTGTCCAGCTGCCGAAGACCTTGCTAAGGTGTGGGATCCAGCGAGACAGTCAAGACTCCGTCCCCTGCCAGCTGTGTTTCCAGGATCTGCCAGCCTGCTGCCCGAATCGCTTCAGCTCCAACCCCATTCACCGCCTCATCTCTGGCTGCCGGCCAGGACTAGCTGCCTTTGGCACTCTGAAATTCTTCTGACTGGCACTAAGATTACTTAAGGGTTGATCCCTGGTGCTGTGTATGCCTCTCAATGTTTCCAGAGGCTGTGCCACCCACGGCCAGTCGCGATGCTTTTGCCATGTTTTGACCTTGCTGCTGTGTCTCCTGGCTTCTGCTTTTGCCTCTCAAAAAGGGAGCTTGTCTTGCTGTATTCTTCCCAATAAACCTGCATTAGTTGGCATTGCAAATGTACGTCTCAACAGTTCTTTATTTTTAAGAGATTTTGTGGTCATTCTTTGTTGGTCATGGTTTTTTGTGAGCTTAGCATCTAGTGTTAGTCATCGAGTGTCATGGGTGAGAAAGGGATTATCTTTTATTGTTAGGAGAGTCTTTGGATATAAGATGCAGGGAGGGTTATGAGAGTTGATGGAATGACTTGTCCTCTGCATTTTCCTCTCTAGTTAGGGACTCGCAAAATGACTTCCACGGAAGAGAAAGAAAAAGAAAAATTACTTAGGAAACAAGAGAGCAGGAAGGCTATGCAAAGGGAGGGCCATGGATTAGGAGTTCAGGGTCGACTAGAAGTTCAGAGTCTTTATCAGAAGAGCACAGTGAAAATCTCTGAAAATAATCCCTGCATGATCAGCTAGGAAGGAGGGAAAAGGGTAGGAAGAGATGAAAAGAAAGATGAGGTGGTTTCCAGGCTCCAAAACTCACTGCATCCAAAGGGCAGCTGGACGTCCAACCCTCCTCTCAAGGATTTAGGGTAATCAGAGACCCTAATGAGCTGGGAGTCATCACCGTCCCTTCCTATTTGAGTAAAGCTGGGCAGCAGGGACCATTAGGAATCTTGGAAACATGTCGGTGTATTTTAGTCCTCAGAGCCAGCGTCCTGCAGGCGCCCCACGGGCGTCCATGTGCTGACCAAGCAAACCGTGTGGATGCTGAGGGTCCGTGTGCTCAGTCCCTCCACTTTTCCCTAGAAAGTGAGAACTGGTACCTCTTGGCTAGCTTGTGTCTTTACGTTCTGCTTCATCCAGAAACACATCTCTATTTTCTCTTCGGAGTCTCACAAGGAGAAACAGAAGCAGACAGTGTTTATGGAGAATGGAGACGGATACGGATGAGTTGCCCGTGTCAGGAGGAATAGATGCTTTTCTCATCACAGGAGGTGCTTAGAGCCTTGCAGAGAATCCTGCCATCAGTCTTGTCAGTGCAAAATGCTTTTCTGATGCCACTGATGGTTTTCCAGAGTGATTCCAGATAATTCCTGTAGAGTTGCAATATTTTCAATTTTTCCTTTTGCTGACTTCCTTCTCAGGGTCGCCTTTAGCAAAGAAGTATACTGTGACTTACGGTTCTCTCTCACTGGAGCAAGACATGGTTTTTACAATCTGTGATTCTTTTTTTTTTTCCCTCCCAAAAAGGAAATACTTTGGCTTTCAGAAATGCTCTGAATTATTCTAAATATAAATCACTAGCAGAACTCTCAATGGTCCTTTCAAAGCTGTGGTTTAAGTGACTCTCATTTATTGTTAATTTCAGTCACTTCACATACAGTTTGGAAAAGTCAAAATTTATCAGAGGCCTAAAGAACACTTTTTAAAACACTTTTGTTTTTTATTCTTCAGTTTTTTAGGTTTCAATAAAAATACAAGAACAGAGACACTTTCTCTTTATGTTTTATCTAAATGGCTAATCATTTTTAATAAATGACACTGACATATTAATAATACATAATGACATAGATGTTACGGTATGATATTAATAAATAATTGTTTGGGCTGTTTATCATGGGAGTGTGAAAATGCAAAAGATGTAATGATCTTGGCAAGCCATTTTCTTGCTTTTATTTCTGTTTTAGGGAATCATTTTTTATATGCTATTAGACCTATTTTATTTACAGTACAATTCTCTCCATTCTTTGCCTTATTACATAATAAATTGTAAAGTTTCAAAGTAATCTGAGGCAGAACAGTCTTTTAAAAGATAAGATTGTGAAGGTGTCTTTCTTTTCCTAGCCTAGGGCCTAGAAATGCAATTGTATCCAATATCCTGTAGGTGTGGGGGAAGGAGTCTGACTTCTGTTACTAAGTTGCAGGTTTGCTTATGTCTGGAAACTGTGGCTAGATCCTCTGCAAACCAGAGATAATGATAGCATCTCCGGCAGCAGAAGATAGCATCTTCTGTATGCAGAAGTAAACTAAGGCAGTATGCGTGCAGTACAGGACTCAGCTGAGGCATCCCTCACTTGACACTGGAATGAAATTCACTTTCTCTTTCCTGTCCCTTTGTGGACATTCTGGCTGCTCTCAACATCTCAGAAGAACCTGCTGTCTTCTTTTTTCTTTTCTTTGGCTTTAGAAGAATTAGATCATTTTATGGTTCAAATTATACTTTTGTAGTTGCTTTCTCTTCCAGCTACCCCACTTCCTTTCCTTGATATATCTATCTCTATATCTATCTATCTCTATATCTATATATATATTTTACAAAAATCCATTTATATGAGGTAATTGGGTTTCTAACAGATTTCACTGAAAGTTTGGGAACATGGGAGACACTTATACAACAATGATACAAACCTCAAATTTCATTAACTGTTTTTACTTGGTGGAGTATCCATAGCGTAAAAGTTGCCATTTTCACTATTTATAAATGTACAGTTTAGTGATGTTAAGCAAATGCACAATGTCCTGCCGCTATCACCACCATTCACGTCTAGAAATTTTACATCCTTCTGAGCTGAAGCCTTTTGGGCCCTGTCTAGGTCCCCTAGCTCAAAACCAAATTTCTCCTGTCTTCCTCCTTGTCTATGTCTTTTCCTTCCTCTCTCCTTCCCTCTGATGTTTTCAACAAGCATGAGGATAACTCTGCTGCTGACCATAGTTTAGTTCTGTAGAGCAAATTCACTAAGTCTTTCTGCATCATCTTCTTCGATAGATTATACTTTGTTGTCTTAGGTTTTTCTTGCCTTTCTGGTGCATGTAAATTCTTAACAATGGCCTCCATTACATGAGTTCTCAGTAAATCATGTGTATTATAATGCTTTTCTTGCTTATTACAAAACTATGATAGAATCTGAAGGCATGAGTTGCTTCTATAATATTTGACTTTAATCCAAGAGACATAAAGGTTATAAAACTCAAAGGGATGTTTTGAGATCTGGTCAAATGATGACCTAGATAAAAGATCTCTCTGAAAGAGTTGAAGACATCATATTTACAGAAGACATGCTTACCCGTGTTTGTAGCAGCACAGCTGATGATAGCTAAATGTTGGAATTGGCCTCTGTATCAGTCAATAGAAGAATGGATAAAGAAACTGTAGTGTATAAATGCCATTCATTACTACTTAGTAATAAAAAAGAATACATTGGAGTCTTTTGTAGGAAAGTTGATCTTGATACTATAATACTAAGTGAAGTGGATCAGATGCAGAAGGTTAAATTTTGGATGGTTTTCTGATATGAGAAATCCAAAATATAAACAAAGCATAGAACAAACACTAAAGATACATGATAGAAAACAGGGGGATAGACTTTGTGAAGGTTGGAAAGGGACCTGTTTCCTTCCTGAGGCTGGAGGAAAAGGGAAGAGAGGATGTGAAGGGGAAACCAGAAGGATCAAGATGTGAAATGCATATGCAATGATGCACCATAATGGATGTGTTTATTATGGATCACAGAATGCAGTAATACAGATAAATAAATCATATCTCCCTGTAAAAATTAAAAAGACATTAGTCAAAGGGCAGGAGTGAATCACTGGTATGCGAGGATGTAGCCAGCCCAGTGGCCTCTAGAACCTGCTCACACTGGTAGATGATCTGCCCAGATCTTGGAACTCAGCTCGATAAAGACCAGTTTGTTTTCTTCAGATTTTCGGAAACCTCCTCTCTGTGCTTAGGAGCTCATAAACACTTTTATAAAATACTTTGTGCTTGTTTCTACTACTCTGAAATCCTTATTAGAATTTCCAGTTTCAATCTCCCTTATAAAATGTGCCTCTTATATTTAAGCACTCCATTGCTGGGCTGCGTTATGAGTGTTGTCCTAAAATCAAATTCAAATGAATTCTGATAAATCCAATTGGTTATATAATTCAATGAATTAGATTTATATTGTGTTCTTTATATTTTATGAGTTGAGAACAATTATAATTGGAAACAGTACCTATTAGCATGGGTAACATTCATAAAACTATTAAAAGCAGACACAATGGGCTTGTCTAAGTTGTTTAGTGCCTTATTATAAAAATGGATGGTAAAGGTGATGAGACAGGTAACAATTATGCTAAGGACTGGTGCCTATAAGAAAGGCTGAAGGTAGCTCGTGGTTAAGACCTGATTGTTGTTCAGGGTAGGCTTTGCCTTTTTTAAAATTTACATTTTAAATTCTTTGACAAAAATGACTTTATCATTTTGGCCTGGAATGCAAGCCTCCAAACCAGCTTTTCCTTTCATTAAATTTTTAAAAAAGTTGTCAATGCAAATATTCTTAGGAATGTATCAATTACATAATGGTATGGAAAGGTATTTTACTAAAACAAAATATCCTTTTGCTAAAACATCTCATCTCACTGATTTTAATCTCTTGGTTAAGGATACCACTCACCATCTTCCGAGCCACCTGCACTGAAATATTGTTATCAGATAGTACTCATCTTTGGCCCAACTTTGCACATTTAGTGAAACATCAGGAAATATTTTTCCTTCCTAACTGGTAAGAACAATGCTGTAGGGTTTTTTCTTTGTTTTTCCTGTCCCCACCCGGTAGGATGCCCTCACCTTACACTAGAGCATTGTGACAAGTCTCTAATCTTGTTTCTCTTTTCTTTCTTGCCTATGTACATCACTGTGAGGTCTGTCTGAATTAGTGTCCTGGGACTGGCATGACCAAGTACTCCACACTGAGTGGTTTAAACAACAGGCTCAGTAATCTGTTCATCATTTCTTTTCCAGGGTAAATGATAAATATAAAAAGTAAAGCTCACCAGAAAGTAAAGCAATTTATCCTTAAAGCTTGCCCCATAGACAAAAGTTATAGTTATAAGTCCTGGGATTAAGGGTTGCATTTATTTTCAATTTGATTTAATTAAACTGAGGAAAGAATTCAAGCTCCTTAGAAGGCTTTGCCAAGATGTTAATTCATGGACTTTTCCTTTATCGCTGCATGGGATTCTGAAATGAGTTTGGAAAATTGTTTTTAAAGCTTGCGAATAATCACAGATGCACATTTAATATATTC